ATCAAGACAACTACTATGGCAGACGACTTCGGACTCGGTGCGTTCTACATAGTCCCCCTGAACACAAGACAACGAGGTCAACCCACTTCTGTAGTAGGCTAGTTTTATCAAGGCTGTCACTAAGGTACTTTATCTTGAGAAGATGACAGAATGGGCAATGCTCACGTATAACAAGTGCAGCAAAATCAGTTCACGGCTTCTTGTTTTCTAATCAAGTCTTAACGAATCGGAGAGGATAGAAGGTTTTAACTACCAAAATAACTAGGGCCAAAGATGTACTGACTACATATCTCTACAAAAAATAGGAGTAAATAACTTGGCTGTGCATTAGATACTTATTCACGCAAGACCGAAAATGAATGAACGCGTTTGGGTGGAATATTCAGATCAGGCTTTTGTGCAGATCTAAATGAAGCAAGAGATTGGAGATCGAAGTTTTCCATCTTTCTGGTAAGCCGAAGCTCAGAAATGATGCCCGGGTCTCGTTTTGCCATGTTTTTATAAACTTCTTCAGCTCGGCCTAATCTGTTAGCAAATAACACTCAGGTTTCATCGGCCCGACAACAAGACGGTTCGAATTTTGTTCCGGAGATGCCTGGTCGTCGTATGAGTGGTGCTTTGAGTCGTGCGATTGAGAACAAAGTTCTTTGGAAGGAATACTTCTGGCAGGTGCAGAAACAGCTCTTCTTCCTCTCAGCTGGGAAAGCAAGTCCAGGCAACATTTTGCGCTGCGATATAGCCAGATTAGATTGGATACACACAGACCTAATTGACTGCTCATTTTCTTTTGAGTGTCAAAATGACATGAAAATGAAGAATGCAAGGCAAGAGCTTGACTGTCTGATTCCGGAAGACGTACTAAGAGACTCGTGTGATGTCATCCTTCAGTAAATTTTGAAAGGACTTTTGATTTTAAAGGGAAAGCTAGTCAGAAGGAATTCGTGAATTGGGCTCACCGAAAACCGAAGGAAGATTGCGTCAGAAGAATGAAGACTATTTAATTGTGCAAGCAAGTCCTCACCTCATTGTCCTGCGATCCTGATGAACCGGTGCTAAGTTTTCGTCTGTCATGGAACAGAAGTCGTCAAATTTAAGGAACCATATTTTACGAAAAAAACCAAAAGCAATAAACCAAGAAATGCTTCCGGTGACTTAAATAAGAGCTTCTTATTCAAATCTTATTGATGATCTACGGGTAGCTCTTAAGACTAAACACAAATATCTCAGCCCGATAGATTGACGATTTCTTCTGCTCCGGTTTCACGTAAAACCTCCACATTTGGTTTCTCTCCACGAGGCGCTATCGAGTCAACTACCAATTAAAATGTACAAGTTACGTAGATATTTATAGATAGGACCTACTCAAAGCCCATGCGCAGTTTCACCGGGTCTTCCTGGTCGTCCTGCATCTCTGCTCTGGCCAGCGCCTCCATCTCGCGGAGTCGTGAGGTCAATTCGTTCACCTCAGAGACTAACAACTTCCGGCCATCCGCTTCTGTACGCCAGTCGTCAGCCTGTTTCTCCAGTTGAACCGTAAGGTGATTGACCTGAACGTCCAAAACAAAGAATGAAAAATAGTTGACCCACAGAGCCCGATTCTCGGGGATCGGCCTTTCTCCACTTCAAGCAACCAGTGCCGTGCAGGCACTAGAGAACAAGATAAAAACAAGAGTCGTCAGGTTATAAAGGCCTCACCTCGCAAGTGAGATGCTTTGTTTCCTCTTTCAGGCTGCTTATTTGCGACATTAATTTTCTCTTCTCCAATTTAAGACGCCGGATTTCTGCAAGATAGACCAACAGAAGGATGAGAATTAAGATAGGCAGATTGTGCATAAAGGATCAGATATCCTCAAATTAAGTATAAATTCTTTGATGACAAAAATAGGTTTGACCTCTTTCAATGACATGTAAAAGCAAGAATAAATACATTAGTAACCTAATGTTGTATAAAATGATGTGGGACAGATGGTTGGATTTACCAAAGTGGAATTAATGGACGTTGTGAATCCGTTGTATTTAACACAGTGTAACCTCACAAAAAGCTTTCTCACTCTGTATTCAGAACAGAATGAAACCCGGTGGTGAGAGTTAAGTGGGAATGTTACGACTACGTCACAGCCATTAGTTCTGGTGAACCATATAGCAAATACAACTTAA